AATTGGTAACAAATGCTCAGTGAGATCATTGAATTTCCATTTATCAAATGCCCTAATTTGAAAACAAAATCCGAATTCAGCCGCGATAGTGTTGGCCGAATGTATCGCCGACAACAAGGTGATGGTGCGGATTGATCTACGCGATAATCTGCAGATTGGTTCTGCTGGTCTGTTGGCGTTGCATTTAGCCATGAAAATGAACACTTCAATAACGTTACTTAATTTGGATTATTCTTGTGCCAAATCGAATAGCGCAAAGGTTCCTCCAAAAGTTTGCATTCGGAGTTCTTCTTTCGCTTCTAAATTTATCGCTTTTCTTCTTCTTTTTCGTTTTTTGTTTGACTTTATTTGGAGTTGATAATTCATCAAAAGAATATTCGATTGATATCAAAAAGCAAAAAAAAATGAACGAGTTCCCTGAAGGTTTGATGATAAGTTCAATACGTAAGTGGCGTAAATTGTACTTGCTCCTCAGCATAACAATAAATTGCTTGTGTTATCGCTCGCTCCTCTACTATTCTGAGGTGTGTTGTTTCTCTCATTGATGAATGAGGCATGTCATTCAGGTGAAAGAATATCATGAACAATTCAAGTTGTATTTCGATGAAATCAAATCGTTTTGTGATCGAAATAAGCAAGCTGCACTCAAACGTCTTTCTGTGCAGTCGTCGGTCACTGAAAATAATCCCACTGAATCGGAATCCGTAGAAGATGCACAGCGTACTAAGAACGAGCAGCAGGAGAAATCAGATGGTTTGTGCTAATTTTTAAGTGGATTCGAAGCAATTCCAACATCGTTGTGTGATTTGTGTTTTTTGTTGAACTGATCTATGTATGCATTGAACTGATTTGTTACTATTAAGAATTGTTTATTTAATGATGCAATGTTGCGAGGAAGAAGTGTGATATCATTTAATTAAATGTGCTTACAACTAGTTTACAAATGTCATCCGTAAAAGTTCAGTTAACGAAACTACTGAAAATCTGGTGGAAACGGCAGTACTGAAATCAGAAAACGATGTAAATAGTAGCAACGAAGTGAATGAGCGCCAACAGAAGCGATCGCCACCTCCATTGTGCAGACAGAAGAGTGTTGAGGTGCAGTCGAATCGCAGTGTACCCCCCGTTTGGAAGTTCTCTCGATCATCCTCATTGACATGCACTGAACTTGTCGAGGATATCAATGTGAGTTTCTTTACAAGATCTTAAAATATATGACGGCAGATTTTCCTCTCGTTTGAAAAGTTCTCGCGTTGTTAATCTCATCCTTACAATTTGCAATCAGTTCAACAATTGCTGGCGAAATCAGATTCATTGCTCGATAAACAGAAAAGCAAACTTCTGGAGATAGATGTAAATGAAAGTTAAAATATCAAAGTTACATTGGTTTCAAATGATTTTTGATGAAACCGTTGGAATGTCAAAGAATACACTCGATGAGATCGTTCCAACGTGACCGCATCAAACATGCGTCAATTCAGGAGCGCATCCTCCAAATGAGTCGTTCTCGTGTGATGTCTACAAATGAAACTGGGGTGTCCGAAGAAACNAATCTTAATCGTGAGTGTCCAAGAACTCTCATATGAGATCCGCACTTTCTCGCATTCTCTCTCACACCACCACTCGTTGAAATTCTCTGCGTCATTTCAAATTCTTACTTTAACCTCGAAGTTAAATTCCCCATGTAATTTGAGACTAATGCCGCCTGATGAAGCCACGAAGTCTTCAGTCTCTGAGATTTGACTTCACCGAATTATCGCCTATTTCGTTCAAGTTCTGAATTCAAGAAACATTCATTGCCACGGACTGTGAATTCCGTATATTTTATTTGGTTCACTCTTTTCGCACTTTTACGCATCGATCAGAAATGTCGTATATTCCAGCTGAACTTGGTAAAAGTCCCTCGTTGCCTGTACTACCGCTTCTGGCGAATGCCACCGATAGTACGACGACAATCAAAAAGCCATCTCCGAATCGACGTTTCTCAGTTTCGCTATCAACTCATTCGAACAGCAATCCCGAGTTACGTCGATCCGTTTCACCTCGTTTCAAGGTTCGTTCTGGGTTTTTCTTCTGCTTTTCTCGAAGTAGTCGTCGCAGTTTTGCAGTTGTTTATGATCATTGTTGAGGCGTCAAATGAACGGTCTGTGGCGAATTTTATGAAATCTTGCTGTGCATATTGTTGTCTTTTGACTTGATTGAAACTTTTTTTCAGGTTATGCCAGTCACATCCTCATCTGCTCATACACTCAGCCAATCTACACCAGCAATAACCAAGTCTGTTCATGAAACAAAAGCGTCACCTTCCCAACACTACCCATCCAGTGATATATCAGCACTCCCGAATACTCCAGTGTCAACAAACGCATCTGCTGTAAACGGCACATCTAAGAGAGAGCCAAAAATTGTTCACATTACATCGAAAGATGTCGATGAAAATGGCAATTCAACTCTTCCAATGGATTTTCCGCCCTCTAAGCAAACTGAGCGAAGCTGCAACACGGTTATAAGCTCGGATGTCGAAATCAACTCGGAATCAACCGTGCCTCACGATGGTTCATCAACCGAAACAAATTGTTCAGTGTCATTTAACTCGCCAATTACGCCAAACTCAGCTGATGCCGTTGATTCAATGAACTACGACTCCAATAATAACAATAATGATAGTAGCGATACTAATAATAATAGTAATAATAGTAAAAAAGAAGATTCTCAAAAGGAACTCGAAAATATGGAATGCGTTCAGGAGACTTTTAGTGTAAAGACAACGGTATTCGATGCAGAATGTTCTCATGAAGATGTGCAGTTGCATTCTAGAAAAGTGCATTTTTCGGAAGTCGTCCCCGTTGAAATCATTCCACAAGCGACAACAACTGAGGAGAGGAAGAAACAGGTTAACTGTGACACCAACAGCGGAGGATGCGATACGACTGCTGCTGCGTATGATGTGCTTGAGATGAACGAAAAAAATAATTGCAGACGCGACGACGAATCACTTGATTTGAATCAGAGTGGTTCTGAGTCGGAACCGATGCCCCAGGCAGCAACAGTGTTTCATGCGGACGAGTGCTCACAAGAGTCTGTTGATGAGCAACACAAGAAGCTAGCGTTTACGCTTGATACGAACCCGTCAACATCTGGGAATGAGGCGGCGACGACATGCTGTAGTGGTGAGAATTGTGTGGAAAAGGGCGATCAAGATAACGCAACTGATACAATCAGTGAATCGAGTGATTTCGTTTTTGTGGTTGATCAAAGCACAGAACAAGAATCACTGCCAGACGGCTGCAGTATTGAGGTAGTTCCAGAATTGTTGCATTCCTCGAAACACACGTCCAATTCCACTGATTGTGATTGTTGTGGAACGTCGTCTCAGTCACATTCACAAAACGTCACTTCAAATGGAAGAAACTGTTTGCGAAAGTTAGATCAAACTATGACTTATGCATCTATGAAAAGTGCAGAAGAAACAAATGCTGTTGATGGGTCAGCGAAACGCGATAAATGTATAGCGAATGTTGTAGATGTGTCCAATAAAAAGCCACCAGATATAGATGTGAATGATGCGCAGCATGAATGCTTCACACTGAAATGTGTCAAAAATTGTGATACAGAGATGAGCTTGAACAGTGAACTAGTGGGATGCGAAGTCAGTGGTGAGCAGTCGACAGCTGTCCTTCGAAAGTCATCGGAAGACAGCAAAAATATTTGTGCCTGCTTAGGGATTGATAGAAACTATGAATATGTTCCTGCTTCTCGGCAGCAATCTGTTAGTACGGGCAAGGTTGAAAACGCGTCATCATCGCTATCAGCATCGCTGCCGTCTCCGAGCCAGAGGCTGTCTCGTTCATCGAAAGGAGCACTGAACCTGTTAGTAGACGTGTCCGATGATGCAGTCGTTCGACGAGTTGTGCAAGACCTCGTTAATTTCACTTCTTTTGAGGTTTGTCCCAACATTGCATCTTTCGTACAGATAATTGTTCACAGAGAAGGCCATATGACGGAGAGTTCTAGAGTTTTCGTGCGCATTCCATTGAAAGTCCTTCAAATTTGGCAACTTTCTTATTAAATTGCTTAATGATCTCTGGAAATTTTACAGTATCGTCAAATCATCTAATCAATTCAAGACACAAAATTGTGAGAAACTAGAAAAAATAGTGATGTTTTGATGACTAATTACTTGAGCATTTATCAACGCTTGTGATAGCGCGTTACTGTACCTCAGTGAAGTGGGTTACTGATGATCGCATTTGACTTTAGATGGGTGATGATGTTGGCTTTCGTAGTGCTGGATCAAAGTCTCCGTCGCCTTCGCGCTATATGATAAACGCATCACAAACTGTTGCTTGCTGTACGCCAAGGTTACTGCTGCTGCTATGTCGAAACTTTTTCTTTGAATAATTTTCACATTTGATAAATTCGTTCTAAACGTTGCTCATGTGAAGATCGGCTCAGAAGTGATCATCTCTGGATCGGTTTTGATTGTGTGATGATAATTTTAGAAATGCGATCGAAGAAACAAGAGATTGTTGTACGAACGATCCAGATATTGAACGAGTGGTTCATTGTGTTGTGCGAGGATTGGTACGAGATGTGCTGGTCAGCGAGAAGAGTGCGTTATCGAGAAACTTGAGACGGAGACGTGAACGTCTGCACAAGTAGAGACATTGTTTTATCGACACGTAACGACGACGACCGTTCCTCTTCATAACTGACTCAAATACACATTTTGTATCAGATCACAAATACTCATTCAAATGTCATTTATAGGTTTTACTAACGTTACAGACTGTTCGCAGATTGGGTCACATTACCTTTGGATTGATTATTCGGTGAAAAACGATCGACGATCGATTCTTGAAATTGATTTGGATTCACTTCTATCGATATTTTTTGGTGACTGAAATTGAACTGTTCTAATTAATGAAGTCGTTCTTTAGCTGGTAACGATTCTACGAAATCAGTTCATTTTGAAAAGTTCTCTTCGTTTTAGTGTTGTTGATGGTAAATTGTCTATCTTTATCATCATATTTTTAACTTTAGTAAATATCAATTGAAAATTCATCACTTGAACTTCAAATATGGTGATGGCGTTTCACTTTAGTTTGAAAGTTTGAAAACATGTGGTTTCTGAAACTCTGATCGATATGGCATCGAAAAAACAGGATATCAAAAACATTCGTTCACACCTTGACACTGTTTTCAGTGAGGTTATTAATAACTCATCAGTTGCGTTCGTTTGTAAATTGCTTTTCATTTGAAGTGGATGGTCAATGGTCTTTAATCGAATATCATTTAGGCTATTAGATTGAGTTTGTCGTTTGATGTTCAGTTGTATTATACAACTGATATGTATCGATATATGAGAAGGGTATTTATGAAATCAGTTGTATCACATTGCATGTTCAGTGATATCTCCGTTGTTCTAGGAGGGTTTATAATCCGTTTTGGTTTTTAGTTGATTCCATATATGTTTCTCACTTTTTTCACTAACAGACTAACGTATATGCTTACCTGTACAGAGGAATTTTTAATTTCATTACGATTGTATATAAATATCGTGTATTTATTCATAGGCAACCATTCTCCGTGATATTTGACAAGTCCATTTCACGTTTCTGGATTCTGTATCGAGTTTTCAGTCGAAATACCATCATCTACTGTGATTTTATGTTTTTGCAGGAAAAACCCGTATTTTGAACATTTCTCATTATGACCTTCAATTCTGCAAAGAAGGTATTGATAAGAATGAAAAATGAATTCCTAGGTTAGCGGTGGACTATAAGGGACTAATATTATGTAGTTGATATCTGTTATTTTCCGATCCTACTACTGAGCTGGAAAGTTTTCACGTTCAAGATTTACAACTTGTCAGGCAGAACTTTGTGATGTTGACGCGATCCCAAATTTATAACTTTTGTTGAAATGGTAGATGTATTAATATACGTGTGTGTATGGTAAAGTTCATTTTATGAGCCATCGAATTTAGTCTCCAAATGTTGTGTTCGAAACTCAGAAAATGGAATCTGTTAAATGTGCACGATAACTGGATACCGGTTCGAATGCTGTGTTATGATTCAAAATTACTGAATTTTTTCGTTACTCATTTGAAACATTTTATCTGACATTCACCATTGTTATTTACCTTGAAATAACCGTATACTGAGCAGTTTTTTATCTTTGGATTTCTATTGTTCTGTTGTCGAAATGTCTTTGTATTTGTTATTTTTTTTNCCATCTTTGTGCATGTCTGACGTTGTAGAGAATCAGTGGCATCTATCTCATTGAATCACTTCTGGAATAGTCCAGTCGCATCTGAATGATGAATAGCAATAGGAAAGTAATACTGAGTGAAATGAGAATCGCAACAGGCAAACGTGTTGAACGACGTGTACATCTGATTACCGAGTTTAACATCGAAACTAGTGTTCACAAGAAACCTTCCTTTATTCAACTAGATTCACTTGAATTTAACTGAATCGTGATAGTCTTTTGAATGCGACGCAATAATGAAATTTTAATGTGGAATGTGGCTCAAATAGATAATGTCTTACTTTTTATTACTCGATAACTTGGCATAATGCAATGAATTTGAGTGGTATCAAGATACGACTAACAATGCAAGGTGATTCGCTTGCAATATGTACGCTCACTGGTTATACTAACTTTACTTTCACATCTTATCGTTATCAGTATCATTCTTATCACTAATACTGATGATACTGTTATTGTTATCATTAGAACGTCTCATTGATGGTATCTTTATACCACCGCCATCGTCATTGATATTATTATTATTATTGATTAGATAATTACCAGTACTTGCTATAAGCATGCTAAAGTTCGAAATGAGTATCCACTTATGTTTAGTGGTAGACGTTTGCATGTTCATGTGTACTATGTATAACATATAGTGAAATATTTCTTATCTGTGATGTTATCCTTTGTACGGTTCGTTTACAAGCGCTAAACTATAACATATGTATTCATTTATGATCGAAGTGTTGTTTCCAGTCATTTCGTTCGTTGGTTTTGATTTCAATGAACAAATTCAACGACGTGAACCTTGCATAGCACTTGCAAAANAGAGCCGAGAGTGCTATCGGGTTTATCATCATCTCCAGGCTCACTCACTTCAAATTATCTTGAGGGCTACATGCGAAGTGTTGTGTTGCTGTCTTTGAGGATCACTGTTGTTTGACAGGTACACTTGAGATATGCTGATTGTAAGAAATTTTCATGAGGATTCACTTGCGTAGTAGTAAACTTCGAATCCACTTACCCGCTATCGTGTGTTGATTTATTCGTTATTTCGTTTTGTTTCATTTCATCGTGTATTTCTAACAAAGTATTAGCTATTCGCTTGTATTTCTTCATATACATATGTAGAGACAGAGAAAATAAAAGTTATGTGAATATATACATATTTCAATTGCTTTATAAAAATTTCAGCAGTCGTTTACTACCGCATCTTTGCGGCACATTCTATAAATTACTGTCAACCTTTTTGGTCCCATGGATACGGTTTAAAGCCGGAATATCGCACACACTAATGTCTTAAGGATAACTTGATCTACAATTGCCAACAATGGACATGCTTCAAGCGAATGCTCTGGATTGACGATACTCTTGGAGTGGGAAAGTATAATACGTGGATGATTTATTTCAGGCATTCGGCTTGATTTAAGTTTTTATTGACGAAAAGAAAAATATTCTCACTTATAAACAAAAACAACAACAGTGATGATGATGATGATGATGATGAGGTTACTGTCGATGTGATAATGAAAAAAGCAACGGTAACAATTACAACAATAAAGGTAATGCTAAATCAAGCAGTGTTCACAACGACAACTCGCTAGTAGCGCACGTGAAAATACGCACGGTGAAGAGTAATTTTTCATTGGCATGAATAAAAAATAAATCACATTAATGCACGATATGCTTCAGCAAACAAAAATGTCTCTATTCAAAGGACTAAACAACGACGACAGACGTGACTGAGAATTCGGCCATCGGCGATGACCGCTTTTTCGTGTCACTGTACCATTCAGAAAGACATGAAGTAAGTGTGCTAGATGACGAAAAAGCTCGTCTGATCTTACTCATTCACATTTGATCTACGTGAACAAATTTGGTACGCCCTTTTAGGCTGCATATTCCTTTTTTTAGTGGCTCAAATGATAAAATCGCATTTAACCAAATCGAATTAAATTTTCACTTTCACATCAAACATTACAATTGAGCATGATAAATGCATAAATTTACGCAAAATAAACCTTTGAGACAATTTTTCAGCTTATAAGCATATGAAGATTTTAAAAATGGACTCGTTAGAATTCAGTAATAACATTGGCCATAAAAACCTTTTGAAACACAAGAAATGGCACGTGAACACAGTTTCTCATGATCAACTTATCAGGATTATCACACAATAATTTCATTAGCAAAACGTACGAATATGATTAATTTAGTGAAAATCAACAGAAATCTGACGTAAAGCCAGTTCACAGAGAATGTTAGATTCACGAGAGAGCATTGCAACAGTACGGTTCAAATAAAACATTTCAATGAATATCACGATTTCTTTACGATGAATCGCGATCAATATGGGCAAATAACATGATTAGAAGTCAGCACATTTTTTCACACATTCATCAGTATATATGAATGTATGAACTTAGAACTTCCAGCGATCCAGTTCAACGTTATCAATGTCCTCATATTCGCAAGCTAGAAAGTTTTTTCTTTAGCGACGAACCCATATCTGGTTAATTTTTTGATAACTGCCACCTGTCCTATATCCTCTCCATCCTTTCTGAATTGAGACTATGAAAGGAGCTGAATCGTTCACAAAACGACCACCGTTATCACTCAGATGGAATGGACGCTTGCTCCCAGACCTTACCGCTTATTCGAAAGATGATAATGCTAACAGTAGTACCACCATAGATTCCTTTGGAAAGAAGCAAATAACGATAGCGGATAAACAAAACACGCTAGAAGGCAATGAAACACAACCGTTCACATTCGATGGAATCGCATAATCGAAGAGTACAAATATACAGCATACATTCAATTATAAGTAGATCATTCAGAACGCAGAAAAAAATGAAATGACCCATAACAACATCGGCATAATCCTTCCGTATTCGCAAGATATAAGATTAAAGCGAAAACAGCAAGAAAAGAAACTGAAGAGTGCAATTAAACAATGTATGATGACAATTTTAAAGCGATCGAGTCGATTTGATACTTCGATTACTGTGCAGTAAAAGAAAATATTTCTGATGAGCGAACCATAAAGTTTAACTGAATTAATTTCAAGCCACATCTTCATGATCTGTATCAGGATTTGATTTCGATGAAGTGGCGGCATGGAATCCTGAAGTGTCGTTGTAATTAATATAATATAGTAATACGAGTAAGACATCGCAAAATCACAGACAATCTTGTACGATCAATTGTCCATTTATTCTACATTTGCTACAAGAATGACCAACCAATTCCTCTCAGAAAAACTATAAACACAAATTCAAGTACTTCCCTTAGCAATTCTATTATTTCATTCTCCCTAACATTTTCAGTCACTGTTATCATCAGCCTAGCATCTATCTTATCTGATCGCTTTCTCCAGTAAAAATGCATCGATACGTCGTCAACAGAGAGACTTCTTCCTCGAAGTATGTTCTACTCTTCTTCTGCTTCCAATTCAAAGTGTGATTCTTTTTTTTTNTTTTTTTTTCGTTTTCATTCGTCATCACCACACGGCACAACGCTGCTCATCACAAAATTAATCGTATCAACGCCCTTTAACGGCACCACTTCGGAAGCATTATTCCCAACATCATCTGCGCCATGTTACCGCCGATTCGAATTCTTCACCACCAGCAACTCGTTATCGTCATATTATTAAACCATTGTATTCATTGCGAAGTAATTTGTTTGTTTCAATCGCATATTGTTGCTGACTTTTGATTTTAGCGTTATACTATTCTGTTAAGTTACAACACATCTACCTTCATTTCTACACCGTTTCCATTCGTTCACTAACTATTCATACGAGACGAACACTGAAAGTTGAACGTTACCTCCCATTGACTTAGTTTCTCGATCCCGTTCAGCATTCCTGCTAGCAAATCCACTGCTATTACTTGATTCAAATCCACCACCTTAGAAAAAAAAGAATTTGTATTGAAAATTTTATGGATAGAAGTGGTTTCAAATATATGGAACATGATGTGAACTATGGAGGTCGCAATTTTTTTGAGTTTTCAAAAACTTCAAATGTTTCGCATTAAATTTCTTCTTATCTTTCATTCACTGAAATCGGTCACTCAATTGGAGAAGTTTTGGACGAGACTGAATGAATGATGAAGTTTGACTGAAGAAATGTGCACTTTGCAATAATTCTATGATGAATTTCAGTTGTGATTGGTTGAAAGTCTCTTCTGTGTAATTTCATCAAAATTTGCAAATACTACACGGAACCTAATAAATAAATCATTGCACCTATAAAAACCGTTGAAGATGGATGGTAGCGTGCAAGATAAACAACAACCTGATGCGGAACCGCCAAATCCTCTCGAATTGAATTTCTTCGGAGCCATGCCATCGTTGAAATTATCACCGTCATCTGAACGCCTTGCAAAACCTTGCCCAAAACCTTTATTTGCAGCTGCGCCCGCAAATCCACCAGGACGATTTCCTGTGAAATATTATACGCGTGTGTCCAGTGATAAAATTTAAATAAAACCTTACAGTACCCGCAGAAGGATTAACTACAAGTTGTACTGAAATACATTCATATTACTGGAACATTTGTTCAAGAAATTATTTCACTCCAAAATTATACCAATTTGCAGACTTTGCTCGAGATTTTATTCAACTAACATTTGAATATATAACTCCATAAATGTATCCAATTAACTAACACCGCATCTCGTAGGAGAAAAACATATTTAAATTATCAAAATATTATTCTTTCCATCCAACACTGATTAACGAACATTATTTAGCAACTCTCATCACGTCTAACGATAACCTCTCTACCTAATCAGCATACCACCAATTCATCTGAACAACAACCTGAAGCAACATCATCTGATGTCATTGCTCCCGACATCCCACCACGACCTTCAGCTAGATCGATCAAAAATTGTGGCGCCTCTTGCTGTACCTCGCGAACGATCTTGAAAGTATCAATTTTGAAAGATCTTTTTTTT